TCCGTTATACTCTAGGAATCTCGCACCGCCACTGCTGTAGCCGTTCATTCTGAATCGCTAAGTAGCCGGTGTGCATGTGTGTATTATTCTGTTGCTGCTGCTTTTCCTTGAAAAAATTTTTCAACTCTACACACACACACACGTGTGTGTGTGTGTGTGTGTGTGTGTGTGTGTGCATTACGTAACGCGCACGCGATATTTCGTGCTGCGTGTATGTACGTACTAAACTGCGTACGCGGCTTGAGCTTTTTCCTTTTCTTTTTTTAATAAAAAGTTATTTTCTAGCTTAACATAAACTAGGTTGCTTTCATATATGTTTTTGAAAAGATCTTATAAAAGCAAGTTCATCTCACAAATTCACTTTGTCTAATAGAGGATGCAATATTATTTAGATTACTGTTACATCATTGTATTAATAATCACCATGCTTTCAGTGAAACACTGATCTTCGTCATTTTAATTTGAATTTTTTTTATAATTATCTAATGATGACTTAAAGCTGAAGTTCTTCTTCCTTCTAATAAAGATAAACGCGCTTTATTTATCAAATATCATCAACTCGTTCGGCTATTGTCCTTGAAAACAAGACTAAATTTTATACACATCATCCGTGGAACTGAAACCGTCGATTTGCCCAACAGCTACTTTTCAAAAGGCAGTATAGTATAGCAAGGTACGCGAAGCTGATACGATAAAAGTTCTAGGTCATTTCTCGCTGCGAGCGCGCGCGAGTTTTCTCGTAGGCGTTTTATTTTACCGACGTTATTTTTGGGAGTCGATCGTGTGTGTGTGCGTGCGTGGGTGTGCGTGTAACCCCGCTGCCGCTCACTACCAAATTGGCTTTTGTAAAAAAGAAAAGACAATGAGAAAAAATCGTGCTCGGTTTCGTTTCGATTGGCCGCGTGCACCTACACAAACACGGATGCGCGCATTATGCACGTGTTTTTGCTTTTTATTTCTACCTTTTCATAATCCTCGCACAAACACGTAACTCACGTTCATTTCTTCATCACGGTATTTTTTACACGTCGAAAATACATGTGTACGATATGGGCTTTGGCTGAAAATAAAAAAAAAGAAAAGTGAAATCGTGTCAATTTATTTCTGCTCGACACGCACTGTATTAATAAGATCGGTGTATTTTTGAATCACGCCCGTGAGCGCGAAATAATATCCGTCGTTGACCCCCGCCCCCCTCCCATCATCCACCCTGTTTCCGTCGGAACGGTAAACACATCGGAAGAAAAATGTAGGGAAAAGAATGTTTTGTAACTGGTGCGTAGGAATAAGGCACTGGCAATAATCTTACGAAGGTCCTTAAATCATTCTATTTATGCGTATGGTGAGAAGAGAACATAAGTGAGCTCGCGCGATGGTCGTTCTTGCCTTGGCGCAGTTACACGCGGCGAAGACGTTGTCGTTGGTGGGCGCCTCTTTTCTTGGCGCCACCTTTTATTTTAAAATGCGCTTCTTTATAGCAAAGCGCTGTCAGAGAAAAGCGCACGCGCGCGCAGCAGCAGCAACGTCCTTCGCCAAGCAGCGAGTCTTAGAATCCATTCGTCGTTGCGGAAAAAAAAAAAAAAAAAAAAAAAAACATACAGCTCGTTAGGCGCGTATTGTGTTGCACCTCGCGCTAATTACGCGTTTCTTGCGGCTTTATCGCTCCAGCGCGACTTTTCCAAAATACGGCCGCGCTCGTTTGATCCCCAAGAGCTTTCTCTCTCCGCGCGTAAGCGCCTGCAGCGGGTGCATTGAGAAAGTGGCCCGGACAACGCAACTCGGTCTTTAGAGGCGCGATAAGGGCGTCGCGATAGCAATTGAGAAAGCATTTCGAGTGAATCGGTCTTTAGCGCGCTAGCCGTTGCCGTCGCTAATCGATGCGACGAAACGACATTTAGAAATCGTTATCCGCTCTCGCTGGAGAGGTCGAAAGCTGCTTCAGCTTCGGCAGTCGTTATCCGATACCTCTGCCTCTTCGCTCCGCGCTTGCCTCGCCACGGGTAATTAGTTATCTCTTCATTTACGACGCAACGCTTGCATTAGCACCGCGAGCACTGGCGATCGTACTCTCGTTTTCCGAATGTTATTTGGAGCGCGCTCGCGGCAACGCCGTAGTTTCGCAAAAGTCACTACGCGTGACGCCGCGAGCGTGAGGTTCGGCAACACCACGCGTATGCTCTCGCGATCGATGAAAAACAAAAACAAAAAAAAAAAAATAAGAAAAGCTAATAAAACAAAACGACGCGCAACGCCATCGAAGATGAGCTGTGCAGTAGTAAGCCTATAAACAAGACACGACTCGCGTTCGGAAGGAAGCAACCGCGCAACGCGCGCGGAAACCGTACGTGCATATAAGCAGTGGGTTCGCAGCGGAGTGCTGGAATGCCGCTATAGTTGTTCGACCGACGAGCAGAGAGAGCGAGAGAGAGAGAGAGAGAGAGCGGAAGAGAGAGATGTCTATTTTGCGCTACTGCTTGTCTGCGGCGCCTTAGTGTCCCGCGAGCGTAAAAATATCGTAAGACTCTCTCTCTCTCTCTCTCTCACGCTCTTTTTCACCGGGAGAAATGGTCGTAGTATATAAATACATTTATTTATCTCTCGAGATTGGTTTCGCCTATTGTAATCCGAATAAAAGCGTCGGCGATGTTTTTTTTCCGCAGGGAGACCAATCTCGAGCGAGCGAGCGAGAGAGAGAGAGAGAGAGAGAGAGAGAGAGAGAGAGAGAGAGAGAGAGAGAGAGAGAGAGAGAGAGAGAGAGAGAGCTGCGTTAAATATAAATCCAGTGCGCGCGCGCGCGCGCGCTTGTGTGTGTGTTCGGGGCAGCAACGTGCGCGCGCGTGATTCATTTTAGCTGTGTGTGAATGAAACTGATCGGTCGCCGGCGATTCGCGGAAAATAACGTCACGGGAGCGCGAGGCGAAGCGAAACGAAGCGCCGAAATATCCTCCGCGCTCGCGGCCCTCCCACAACCCCCCTCCGCCAATTACGGGCATCCCCCTTGCCTGAGCCGTCCGCTCTGCGCGTTTCACGGTTGCCCGCCAATTTGCTTTTCTCTTTTCCTTTTTGTTTTTTTTTTCGGCGTGGCATAGCGCCGCGCGACAACTTACCGCGCTGTGATTTAACCCAGATTCGCGGTTGGTAGAAGCAACGGCGCATCGACGGTCATGAATGTCAAGTATACGACAATCGCGCGGCCACGAGTTTCAAGCTCCTTTATCCTCGTCGCCCGTGGCGGTGATCGTCGAGTATTTTCGTAGTGGCGACGAGCTCACCTCGTTCCTTTTGCCTGCTGCTGCCGCCGCCGTCTGCACGCCATTGTTTTGTGTCTGTGTGCGCGGCGACGACGACGACGCCATGGACAAAAAGCCGGCGCCCTTTCGCGTTTATGATATTTTTAACGCTAGTGTCGCGGTCGCCTGATAAGCAGGCATAGACGTGCGCGCGCGCGCGCGCGAGAGAGAGAGAGAGAGAGAGAGAGAGAGGAGAGAGGACGAAGCGCGAACCAAGTTGTAGTAAGACAGCGAGTCGATTTCTTGCATTCCTACCAACTTGACTTTCATTCATGCAATTGTTCATTGAACGTTTACGCGTGTGCTCCGGAGAACGCCGAATTGCCTTCTCGCGCGCCCGGTTTTCCGTGTGATTTCTCACTTTCTCTTCCGAGCCGTTCGACGCTTGCATAATATCCAGAGCAGCGGCCTAAATTTCCATCATATCTATCGCACGAGCGTTGATCGCGTAGACGCCGAGCCACTCGACGAACGAATCTTCGTCTATAGGGGCTTGTCGCCGCGGCGCGACACGTTAAATCTAATTGTCCCATGTACGTCCAGAGATACCGATAGCGAGCATCATCGTGACAAGCGCTCGTTCGGCTGCCCGGTTACGCGTCGCTCTCTATTCTTTTATCTTTTTCTCCGTCGATCGCCAAAGAGGACGAGATAAAACCGCCTCTTATCTGTCGTTTATCCGCGCGCGCGTATGCTCGCAATCAATTTAATCGAGTTTCGCGAGCACTCACTGGGAACAGCGACTGCGCCCGCGCGCTCGGCGTGTTCCCAGCTCGAGCCGTGGAAATGAATGGATTTGCGCGGCGAGCTCGCGCGGCGTGACTCGCAAAGACAGGAGGGTGGCCGTTGATCCCCGCGACTCCTCCTCCTCCTCGGCATAAACAAAATGGAAAGAGCCGAATGTGGCTATAACGGGCGCTCGGCAATATGTTTTCATTGACCGCAGCGCCGTGCGACGCGCCCGTCGTGCTCTCGAGGCGTTTAGCGGCTCTTCGATTTTCCGATTTGCGCCAATCGGGCTGAACTTATTTATAGGCGTGCACGCGTACCCACGGCGAGCGCAGTCAATTGGGAGGATCGGATTGCCGAAAGGGCCGTCTCGCGCGCGCGCGCCACGCCGCCGTGGCGCCATTGATTGGCCTCCTTGCACACACGCCGGACGACCCCCGCGCGCACGATCGCTGCGCTACTCGTCGCCGAGCGCGTGCGACAGGGGTGCGCGCGAGCGGCGAAAATTAGCCGACGATCGCGTATATATAGAGCGCACGCGATCGCCGCCCGTGCGCCGCCTGTGCGCCGCCCGCCTGACGTCACGCGCTCGCGCGCACATTTTCGCGGCGACTATTCTCGTCTCCTACGGCCGAGCGCGACCTTAAGTGTTCTATGTACGCATTCGCGCACCGCCGGACAATGATGGATTTTCGTGAGCGAGTTATCTTTGCTTTTCGATAGCTCGCACCGACAGCCAGCTGGAAATTAGGGACCGACTAGAAGTAATTAAATGTCAATAGACTAGATACGCCACATCGTGCTTCTGACTCACGCCGCAAACTCTGTACACTTTTCGCGTCAATATTGTTATAAGGCGCGCTAGTCATGTACTATTTTACCAACATTATCTGCACCTGAACGTGCTCCAGTGTCACCGGCGTGCAATGACAGTAGCACGACAATTGTTGATTTGTAAATCCCACGAATCTTGCTTTGCAGTCACCTAACGAGGACAACGACATGGGAGGATCCACGTAAAACGGCAGCGGCAGCGAGCGTCGCAGCAGTCGCAGCCGCGGTCGAGAGCAATAAGGCGACAGCCGCCGGTACACCAGCTGCATTGGGTCCATTACCCGAAGGTTGGGAACAAGCTAGAACTGCCGAGGGTGAAATCTATTTCATTAACCATCAAACCCGCACCACATCATGGTTCGATCCACGACTCCGTGAGTAATCTATTTTCTTCTTCTTCGTTTGCTTTTATAATCGACGTTCATGTTCTATCGTTTGATTTAAATGTTTCGGAAAATTGAGTAGCACGTATTTAATAATCTTTTACTTTTTGTGTTAATACACTTTTGTGTGTATTTAATGCACGGTACTAGTTATAAACCGTCTAAAAATTAAAAAAAATGCTACTTTTTCGCATTTTACACGATATATGAATTACGATTAAGCAGGTCGCTACATAACCGTTGGGTATTTTCGTTAATAACCACAATTGCATATTTGCGTAAAATTTCAATAACGTTCATGTAAAAGTGTAGAAAACAAAAAAAAGACAAAGTCGCAAAAAGGAACCAAAAAAATTAAAATAACATATTTCGTGGATTTTTGCAGCGCAACATCTTCAAAGACAACCGACCACTGGTGCCATGTTACCGCAAAGCTGGCAAATTCAGCCGCAACCCGGGGCTGGTGCTGGTATCCAAAGCAGTTCAACACTGCAGGCATGTCAGCAAAAATTGCGCCTCCAGAACTTACAACTGGAACGTGAGCGCTTGAAGCAGCGACAGCAAGAGATCATACGACAGGTTGCTTGATCTTTTCATAATTTGCATTCTTTTCCAAGATCTTTTATTGATTCTTCATTTCATTCATAAATTATTTGACGCTAAATCTGTGGCTTTTGAAATATTGCAGCAAGAGCTAATGCTGAGACAGAGCACAACTGACGCAGCGATGGATCCCTTCTTGTCAGGTATCAACGAACAACACGCCCGACAAGAGAGTGCAGACAGTGGCTTGGGTCTTGGTTCTGCCTATTCATTGCCTCACACACCTGAGGACTTTTTGGCAAATCTCGATGATAACATGGATGGTACAAGTGGTAAGTGTCTGTTGATTTAGTTGGACACTTTCCATGTGTTTGTACAATTAGAGTTTGCTAATAAAACATTTTGATTAGAAGGAGCTCCCATGGAAACTCCGGATTTATCACTAAGTGATAATATCGACTCGACTGATGACCTTGTGCCTCTCCAGGTAGTTACGAATTCGATATTCATTGGAGTCTACGATCATAAAATTATAATTTACAATTTAACTTACATGTGCTTCTGCTATTTCAGCTTGGCGAGGATTTCAGCAATGACATTCTGGAAGATGTTCAATCTTTGATAAATCCAGTAGGTAACACCGCTAAGCCTGAGAACATTCTCACGTGGTTGTAGTGTTCTTAGTCGCTGCAGATTCGAAATTGTAGCGAATTCTAGCGAAATGGAAAAAAAAGAAGAAAAAAACCATCAATTAAGACTCTAAATCGCGATAGCAAGTCAATACTCTTAAACGGGACATAAGTGCACATGAGCTCGTCGAATTTTTTGAAGAAAGCCTGCGGAAAGAAACAATCCGTAGTCAACACATTGATTGTTCTAAACGAATATGTGCGCACAATAATCAAATTTATGTATATAACTCGTTCATTGCTGCCGATTGTGCAAGCGAAGTTGGGTGAGAAATGAAAAAAATTTCAATTCAGCAATACGCTAACGTTAAGTACATAAATTTAGGTCTACAAACAAGAGAGAAAGAAGTCAAAGTTGACACTGGCGCGAATCAATTGACGTTTCTGTCCACAAAAAATATGTACGACTTTCGCATTTGCTGTAACAATACAAATTTGATATTATTTCTGAGACCACGTGGTATCAGATCTACACGGATTTTACATGTGCGAATTGCTATTTGATTCATTATTGATTAATTTTGCATCTAATGCAAATTTAACGTAGATGAACTTTTTATTTCTTATTTGCTTTTTGCTTTCATTACCAGGATTCGATGAATACTTTTATTTCACTTTTAATTCATGATGATATAAATCGAGAGATTTTTATCTTTCATTTTAGATCTTGAAACGTTTTACATTTGAAAAGAGGACAGTGACGTCAAATACGAAGCATTTTTTTTTAGCAATAAATGAAACTTCAAGTGTAGAGTTTTAAAAACAAGCGACATGTGTTATATAAAATGGCCAATAAAAAAAGCAACGATGATACATGCGCGTATCACAGCCTTAAAAGTAATATTCATTAGTAAACGAAAGTGCCTTGACCTTGCAATCAAGTATATACATTTACGCGACCCCCGGCGACAGGGATTTGTCGTTTTTTAAAGGTAATGACCGTCCATATCAATTTGTTTATACGAAGAATTAGCAATTGTTGAAAAGCATACGTCATGTTTTTAATAATCTTTTTAATAATCGAAGATTAAGCAGTAAGAGCAAAATGGAAAAGTATATATATTTTTTTATATATATATAAAGTCTATACTTGTTACGGATTACCAGTTATTGGAACAAAGACAAAGAAAAAAAAGATGACACAGTGTTTAAATTTTTAGATTGTAAAATTTTTTCTTATCTATACAATTGCGCAGCTATATATCAACGGCAGTTATTAAGAAAATAAATTATATGTTATTCACAGAGTATCGAAATATTTTTAGCTTTAAGAATCAGTTCTCCTGGCTCCATTTCACGTAGATGTGAAACGGAGGGACAGGTCAATAAATGTACTTTTTCTTTTAAATAGGAAAACATATTGTATTAATTTTATTATATATCGACTGCTCCGATTTACTTTTACGTATTGCATATTGTCGGTAAATTTGATATTACACCTTTACATGTAATTAAGTATATGGCAGTTAAACGTACTTGCACAATTTCGAAAAAAATGGCATTTCATAAGACATTGACATTGAAATGTAAAGAATACAGAAAGTGCTTTCAATAAAATAGACTTGCCAATTTCGTGATTTCGAGCGTCGTTGATTTGCATTGTTCGATCGAATTGTTTGCAAGTATCTGATGAAACTAAACCTTGATGGTATTGTTGTAACGAAGTATAAGCGAAGGTCTTATTGCAAATAAGATATAAGACATGTTCTCTCGTTTTTTCCCGCACGGAGTGGAAAATTCGTGGAGACTGTAAGGCAAGCGATATAAAAAAAACTACAATAACATGTGCGAGTTTTAAAGTCTAATTTTTAAGAGTTTGAGTGCCGAAATCCTTGATAAAGGGATAATGTACATGTTGTCAGCTACATGACAACTGCCTTTTTTACTGTGCTTTATCGAGATAAGCGTGTGAATTTACATCGCCTACGGGCGATTCCTTTGCAATACTATATGTAAACGTAGGTTGATTTCCTGTGTTTCTTCCTGAAAGTTGTCAATTGAGTTGATCATGTTAGAATGAGTTTCAACATTGGAAAATTAGATTTCGTGCTATTATTTTTTATTTATTACACAAAAGGCATTGTGGCTTCTAGATAGATCGATTTTTTGTTACATGTTTAATGCTTTTTATGCGAAAATTATTACTGCCCAGTCTCAACTCTTTATAACTTTCAGGAACTTCTTATCTTTACAGACTCGTATTATGTATGATTTAAACTTTTCTTTTTTCTTTCTTAGATGATACTTTTTGAATGTAATATCCTTTTACCTAGCGTTTAAGCTGAATACTTAGCTTTCGTCGAGGAAAACATTGTATTTTCTTTTTTTTTCGTCCAGTCAGTAATGGCGGTGATTTATTATTTGTGAATCAATTTTTGTCAAGGTTTTCTCGTCTCGCGAAATCAAACTAATTTTTGTATTTATTTTGTAAAAAGGTATACAAAAATACGTACGGTTTGAAATCATCGACGTATTCGTAACGATAATACCTTTGAAAAAATCGATATGCAATTTTCATATTATCGCGGGATGACAAAAGCACAATTGATTCTTTTTTATTTCTTTTTTTAAGTATCAGTATTTAATTATGTTCATCGGCAATTTGTGGCGTACATTTTTATATCGGTAACATGTGCCTTAGCAATAAATGTAACAATAAATATATTGTTTACTTACTTATAATTATTGTATTTCTATTCAAACCATATTTACCGTAAAGTCAAATTTTATTATTTAATCATAGTTACATAGATTTTATCTGCAGATGCTTCTAAATTATCATTATAGTGGAAGAAAATCTATATTCCAAAGATAAATCTTGAGTACAATTATAATCAATAAACTTTATTTTTCTTGAAAAAATGTCTTCTGCGATAATATTCACGACGCCAAATTACCTATAACAAAAAATAGTGTTGATGGAAAACTTGATTATTGAAGAAATGATTATGAAATGCAATTAAAAGTTATAATTTAATATGATAAATTATTATTTGTTAATTATTATGTAATCGAATGTAATTATTAATCAAAACTGTAGTAATTACTCTATCATTTAGAACGTCGAGTGGACTTTGGTACATGTTTTTTCAACTCTTCAAAAATCAGTCCATTTTCTACATTTTTTGAAGTTCTACGCCTATCAAATAAAAGATTTTACTCGAGTTTCATAAACATTGGTTGTTCTGTTCTTAAACAAAGTTATAAGATTGATGCGAGAGCAATAATTGTTCGTAATTTCGCTTGTCGTGGGCAGTTGCAATCTCAAACGGAACGGCAGATCGAGAAAAGGTTGCACGAGTGCGAGCTAGCCCGCGCTAGGTTGGTAAGGAAGAAGCGTTTCATTCCGGTCTTGCCAGCTGCGGACTCGTCAGTGAGGCTCGACGGCCGGTAACACTTGTCTCATATAACTATTTTTGCCGATCGAAGCACAAAGCAGAAACAGCATGTTACCGATCGAGCCGCGGTCGGGATGTAAATACTTTCGTCAGATACGAAGGACATCGTCAATATCGATGGACATTCCTGTTTTATCTGCCAAGATATTCATATAATTACTCCGCCCGAACATTAATTGGCGACGCGCAAAGTTCAAAATCCGAATTATTTTCGATGATTGAGCATCGATGACGCCAAATGAGATTAGGTTAAAAGATTCATTTTTGCAAACTGTGCTCCTGTAACCTACCGAGGAAAACCTATTCTAGCACAAAAAGAATTATTTTCCCGAACAAACTAAACGGAATTAGCTCGTATGCGATTTGTACTATCATAAAATAACTATCTTTTTTATCTCTTATCTCTCGGGAAAATAGAAAAAGTGAAAACCCAATTAATAATAGTCGTAAGTATATGGAATCTTTAATGTGTTCCAAATTTGAATCTCTTTAGCAAAAATTTTTACGACACTTGAAATTCAAACGTGGCCAACAAATTAACATATCACAATTATAATAAGAAGTATAACATATTTAAAATCTTATATTCTCAAAAAAGAAATTTAAAGTTGGAACAAATTTCGGAAAATTTCGAACTTACGACTATTGTTAATTATTTCGATTATTTGTCCAGAAATTTGACAAAATCCCTCTTGGCTCTGGATACATAAGTGCGTATACGAGCATAAACAAGCGTACGCATGCGTCGCGTGCAGAAAAGTTACTAGAAAATGTAGTACAGCCAATTGTCGAATCCGGATGAATAAAAATAGTTAGAGCAAACGATTACACCACACATAATCATAGCCTGAACTTGTGTGTGATTATTCATGGTCTCAAGTATTCTCTTCTTTGAACAGTGACTAACTTCAAACAGAGCCTTTTTCCCCACAAAATCAGCGCTGCACAAAATTGACATCGTAGGTGGGCATGAAGAATGCAAGTCGAGAAGAAATATTTTTGCATCATATTTGTACCTAGCTGCAACTCGACACCGTACCAGTTTTTTTAAAGATTCCACGATATCCAACCCACGCCAAGTGCACCTACACGCAAATAGGTATAAGAGAAAATTAAACCTGAATGAATCTCAGGCTTTGATTCGACATTATGGGTAAGTGAGGGAATAGGGATCCAGGATGTCATAGGAACGACTTTCTGTTTTATACGAAGGCAAGTATCTTGAGTTTCGATGATTTTTACCAACGGTCTGATTCTAATGCTCAGAATTTCATGAAATTTTCACTAACTGAAGCTTGTGGAATTATGAAGCGAGTTCGATGTTTAATGTTATAACTTTTTCCGGATAAATAAAAATATATACTGATTTTCGGCAAAGATTATAAAAAAGTTGTCCACATAAGGAATTTTGCCAAATTGGTTTGGATTCAATATATCGACAATTCTCGTCATACGAGCGAGGCAACGCAACAATCAATTTTTTAATACACGGGAGCTCCAGTTGAGAACCTCGGAAATAGGGGAAATTGAGACTCGACTGTGAGGTCAGTAGCAGATAGTCCCTCTCTTCCCTTTTCTGATGGCTTGGTTTACAAGTAGTCATCGAACTCCCTACTTAGAATTCTTTAGCCCTACTTAGAATTTTCGAATTCGCTCTCCACAGCTCCTTTGCTATTTTCTTTCGAATTTTCAATCTGCGCTTTACGTCCTTTCCAAATTTTTGAACACTATAGGCTTGTAGGATCTACTCTTTTAGAAGTATCTATACTCGATGCTAGCGAAAGCATTAGTGGTTCATATTCGCCAGAGGCCTGTTTTTTCTTAAAAGCAAAAATTTTCTTAATGCGAAAAATGTTGAAAGCAAATAAAAAATACCTGGAATACTAAAACTGGCAAATAATTATTGAATATAGCCTGGAGTTATTAATAAACAGAGTAAAATTCATCGAGAATGAAGGTATGTACTTTCCTTCGTATAAAACAGAAAGTCGTTCCTATTGCCTCCTGTAACCCTATTCCCTCAGTTATCCATAAGGTCGAATCAAAGAAGCAAGCTACCAAGACATAGCGCCAAACCCAGTGACGGAACACTTTCAGAGTAATAACAACGCTTTTATGAGTCTATAATTGATTGACACTCAACAATTACATTCAACAATAGTTATTACTCTGAATGAGTTCAAGACCGCACCATGAGGTCTGGCGTTACTGTCTTGATCTGCCAGTCTTGTTTGCTACTAGGCCAGTCAATATTATATGTATTGAGGAAATAATGACTCATCAGATAATATGGACCACCTTCTGTTTTATATAAAGGTGAGTACCCTGGGTCTCGTACATTTTTTATTGTTTTAAGAAACCACATTTCATAAGTTTTTAGCTATCGTCTGCGATCCTGCTATTTTTTAAGTCATATATTGCTTTCCTGTACTTTTTTAAGTACAAAAAGTTAGATGCTTCTAGAAGAGCATGTACCGTACAAACCTATGGTGTTTAAAAATTTGGAAAGGACGTGAAACGCAGATCAAAAACTCTCGACAAAAAATTTTTCTATGGAGAGCGAATTCGAAAATGCTCAGTAAGGCGAAAGAGGGAGTTCATTGATTACCTGCAAACCAATCTTTACAAAAGAAGGAAGAGGGACTATCTGCTATTGACAGCATTCATGTTCGTACGGGGCATGAATAAAATCCCAATTAATATATATTGCTTTTCTATATTTTTTTCATGTTGTTTTATACTCCCAAATTTTTCAACTGGGGTAGTTGTGTACATTAAAATGTAAATAGGGTGAAAGAGAAAGTTAGTTGACTACCTGCAAACCGACTCTTTTAAAAGGAAGTAGAAAGAATATGACAGCACTTTGTTGTACAAGGCAGGCGTCGAGTCTCAAGCAACTTGTTAATCGTTAACTATTAGTTTATGCTAAATGGAAATGTGTTATTCATTAGACGCATATTGACTATTATGCATTTTGTGTATAATAGTCTGTGTAATTTATCGAAATTCTATAAAAGTTAACGAGGTTAAGCACAAAATCCACATTTTCTTCTCAATTAGGTCCGAAATTTTACTTAATTTCGGCAAAAGAGAGAATTCGATGACTACCTGGAAACCAAGCCATAAAAAGAGGGAGAGAGGGACTATCTGCTACTGATCTCGCAGTCGTACGGAGTGTGCTTCTAGTCTCGATTCCTCCTATTTTCAAGGTTCTCAACTAGGACTCCCGCGTATTGGAAAAGCGCTGGTTGTATTTGCCTCATTCGTATGCAAAGTGAGTTGACAATACATATATTGAAACCAATCTAATTTGGAAATATTCCTTCTATGGTCAACTTTTTTTATAATCTTTACCAGAAATCAATATGCTGCACTTTTGTTTGTCCGTAGAAAACTATGAGCTGAAATTGACAAAATGCGTAACGTCGAACGCCAAAACTGTGTTACGAATTTTCAAAAATTCTATACTTATTGATGCTACATTGTTTATAAATATCCCAAGAATGACTGTATCAATTATGAAATTCTAATATTTTTTTAAAAAAATATCTAGGATTAATTTAACGAATTAGCGTTGCACCACGGCACCGATTTTTATTAACATTTTCGTTAACAACGCTTGAATTATGTATCTAATTATTATTTTTAACGCGGTACTCACTTCATAATTCCACAAGCTTAGGTTTGTCAAAGTTTTCTGAACTTCTGGCCGTTGGATCTATCTTATTAGTTGAAAGTAAGGAAATATTATTCCAAATGTATTTTCCCATAAGAAACGAAATATTCTCGTTTATGTAAAAATAAGATAGATCCAACGGTTAGAATTTCATGAGACTTCGAAAAAACGAAGCTCGTGGAATTATGAAGTGAGTACCGTATTAAAAATTATAATTAGATACGTGATTGAAGCGTCGTTAACGAAAATATTATAAAAAATCCTTGCCGTGGCACAGCGCCAATTCATTTTTCTAATCAATATTAGAACTTCAAAATTGATATATACATTCATCGGCTGTTTATAATCAATGTAGCATCAATATATATTGGATTTTTGAAAATTCGTAACAGTTTTGTCGTTTGAAGTTACGTATTTCAAAAATGTTGAGGCTATAATTTTTTGCGGACAAAGAAAAATATATACTGATTTCCGGCAAAGACTATTAGAAAGTTGATCATCTAAGGAATGTTTCCGAATTTTTCCATTTTATTATATCAACAATACACTTGATAAGAGCGAGACAAATATATTAACGGTGCCCCGATTGAGAACCTTCGAAGTAGGGAACTCTCTAAGTAAAAACAGGCCCCTGGCAAATATAGAAAATTAATGATTCCGTTAATATAAACGAATGTAGACGCTTCTGAAAGAGTTGATCCTACCAGCCCATAATGTTTAATAATTTCGAGAGGATGTGAAGTTCAGATTGCAT